TGTACGATGCATTGACATGGATGAAAGATGCGCTGATGTTGCCCTAATTGCTAGAGAAATCTTCACTCTGGGTCTTCCCTCCAGTAAGATAAGGGATTTAAAAGACCATCACAGAATATGGGCCAAGATCATTCTGGGATGCATAAACCACAGGAAGCCTACCAGCTCTCCTGACTACATCAATATTGATCAGCAATTTCTGATCTACTTCATCTCTCAGAAGATTAAGGTAAATCTGGCTCATCTGCTGTTTAACCATCTAAGGACCAGTGTTAAGGAAACCAGAGAAGAGGAGCGCACAAAAAGGGACTGGATACCCCTAGGAAGACTTATATCAGATATTCTAACAGAGAATAAGCTGATTGATCATCTAACAGAGGCTCAGGAAATCATCTCTTTGGAAGCTACTGTTGGCAAACCGCTGAATGCAAAGAATCTGAAGAAGATGAAGTTGATTGAGAACATCAAGAAGGAACCCAATGTCACTTCTTTTGCAACAATCTCCAGCAGAAGAGTCCCTCTGGATAACTTTCCTCTGTTCTCAGAGATTGATTCTAAACCTGATATAATAGTCAGATATCTGGATGCATGCAAGGCGGATGGTACAGCACCAAATTTGAACATTCAGGATCTGCAGCAGGAGGCTCTAGAAGTTGTGCTGAAGAAAACCAAGAAAAGGAAAGCTGTAGCAGAAGGATCATCCCAGCGGACTCCTAAAAAGAGAGGTAATCCTTCTTCTGTAACTGTTTTAAATTCAATTTCTGTATCAACATCTATACCAATTCCCACTCAATCAGAAAACCCCACACCACAAACATTTGATGACTTTGACATTGAATTTGACCCCTCTGAATCCTTAACTCTTATAAGATCTCGCTCCCAACCTCCAAATCCAAATATTGAAGCAACCCAACAAGAACTTGCAAAAGTTCTATCTGATATAGATACCTTTGACCAACATACTTCTGCTCCCATGCCAAAAAATCCAAACCCTGAAACCACCACAGAAGCACAACCAGAAATTCCCCTCTCACCACAACCAGAAATTCCCCTCTCTCCACAACCAGAAATCCCACTACCTCCATCTCCTCAACCATAAATTCATCCACCTTCTCCACAACCTGAACTATTTCAACCATAAGTTCAAACTTCTGAGACTCAACCTTCTGAATCCTGTGAACCAGAACCTCATAACGATCAATCAAACCAAACTGTTGATTCTGATACCATTCCCATTCCTGGAATCACAGAACCTCTGGCCATTCGTATGCCCATAACCATTCTGAATATTCCCCAAATTCCCTCTTCTCTAGAATCAACTCCACCAAACTCCCCAACCAGTCCAATAATAATTCCTGACTCTCCCACTCCCTCACCAAAGAACAATTCAGATGACAACATCAAGACTGTCATTGACTTAACGGTCTTTGAACGTCTTGCTGCCATAATCCACAAAACAACTATTCCAAAACCAAAACCATCTGAACCCTCTCCAGATGTTGGTACCAGCTTATTGACATTTGAAACAGAAGTACAGAAGTGGATCACTTCTCTGAAGCAAGCTAGTCTTGAGCTGATTGATCCTGCTGCATCAGACTACCTTTGGTCAAAGTTTAGAAGATGGGTATGTTCTGAAACTCATAAGTTACAAGAACAGGGTTACAGACAAGCTCAACAGAACTTCATCAATCTGGTGAAAGAAATTGAAGATCCAGTTCTGAGCCAGCTGCTCAAGGAAGAAGTTCTCCCTCTGGACATTGCTCCCTGGTCTGAACATCGTCCAGAATCCAAAGTTTAACCAGAGTCAGAAGATCTCAATCTGACTGATACTCAAGAGAAGATGATTCCTGCTGAAGAACTGGGTCAAGAAAAGGATATTGCAGAAGGCTCTGGGAAGCATTCAGTTACTGAAGATCCTCAAGCTTCCTCCTATGATAGGCAGACTCTAGAAGACCTGAAAAGATCTGATATTTTGATGAAGGAAAGAATGGATAAACAGGACGATAAAATTGATGCAATCACGATCATGTTAACCCAGCAATAGGAAACCAACACCCAGATCAAGAGCATGTTGGAAGCTCTGTTCACACGTCTTCCTCCTCCCTCTTAGAATTTCCTCATTTTTATAACATGTTTATCTGTAATATTCTTACATTGTTCTGAACTTATCATTGCTTCTGGTCTCAATATAAACGCATTTTGACTCTGATTATTTGTTCTTTTTGATAACTGACAAAAAGGGGGAGAAAGAATGATATTTTTCAATAACGGATTACTGAGACATAAGTCTCAAACATTCTGATCTATTTAAATTTTTTCTCTTCTGAAAAGCTTGAACAGGTACAAAACTCTGAGGAAAGATACAGTAAGGTTCTGATGCTCAAAGACTCATGGAATTAAAGGGAAGTAATCAACTCAGGGGGAGTTTTCTCTTCTTAATTCTATACTTTTTATTCTTTATTTTTAATTGAAAAATCTGGTTTTTGTCATCATCAAAAAGGGGGAGATTGTTAGAACATAGTTTGATTCCACAACCCTTGATTAGAGTTTTGATGATAACAAAATACAAAGAATAAATAAATTCAAAGATATATATATATATATATATATATATATATATATATATATATATATATATATATATATATATATATATATATATATATATATATATATATATATATATATATATATATATATATATATATATATATATATATATATATATATATATATAAAACAAATATGCTGCTTAAAATTATGTTTTGTATATACAGAAGTTCTGATGGAATCAGCATCAAAAGATCAGTAACATGTGCTACACGCTGAAGCTACCAGATTATACGCTGAAGCTTGATGACCAGAATCTACGTATAAACATATACACTCTGACTCTGATCAAAGATCTTTACCAAGTCATCAGCACTCAGAAGCGTCATCATAAGTTAAAGCAAAGAACACTCTGAAGTGTTATCATAAGCAAAGAAGACTCTGAAGCGTTACTAAGTATTCAAGACAGAATTAAATGCTAACGGCTCTCTTCAAGACAAGATCTTCTTCAAAAGGGAAGTGTGTTATTATCATTAAAATGGCTTTATGGACAATGTATCTCTGCCTTGTCTATATAAACAAATCTGCTTGAGAAAAGACGCACGCATGCACTCACATAATTTGCCAAGCCTTCAAAACCACGCTTACTCAAACGCTTTAGCAAATTTAGTTTATTCCAAGCTTAAATTGTGTAATTATCACAGTTGTGATATATTGTTTTATTAGAAAACGTTAACACATCATTGTTCAAATTATTTGTAAAAGATTTCCTTGAGATAAACCGGTTTGTGGTTATACTCAAGAAGGCTTTAACAGTTGTTAAAGTAGCTGTTGTAATCCTTTGAATATAGTGGATTAAGACCTCGTTGGAGAGAGGCGAAATCACCTTGACGGGTGGACTGGAGTAGTTTGAGATCAAACGAACCAGGATAAAAATACCGTGTTGTCAAACCATTTGTTTTAAGTTTTACAATTCAACCCCCCTTCTTGTGTTTTTCACATCTTCACACAGGAACCTCTCGGTCAAAGACCACAAAAACCTCTTGGTCAAAGACCATCTTTAACTTAGAAAAGTCTCTAAGTGTTTTCTCCTTCTTAGCAAGGATGACTTCGGCACAACCCCTTTCATAGACTCTTCTGGTCGAAGTGTCTTCAACTTTAGATTTCTTCAATCTATTTTTAGCCAATAAGGCAAATTTATGTGGGTGTCGAATTTAGGAGTTAACAAGTTTATATGTTCTTCAAAAATTATATCATAGATTCATTATTTTTCTATCCTTCAAGGATGCTTTATATGTTCTTCAGGAACTATATAAGAAAATCAATATTTTTTCGATCCTTCGAGAATGCTTCACATGTTCTTCACGAACAATATAAATTTATTATTTCTTTATCCTTTATGGATACTTGATAATTTCTTCGAGAACTATATAATAAATTACCATATTGCTATCCTTCATGGGTGTTTGTTAAGTTCTTCAAAAATTATATAACAAAATGTATATTTGCTATCACTCAGGAATGCTTAGTAAGTTGTTCATGAACTATATAATAAACTATTGTTTTAATATCCTTCGGGAATGCTTCATATAATATTATATCAAACTTCAAAGTGAATAAATAAATAAAAACATAAAAGAAAGGATCAATGTCATCTCTAATAGTTATAACTTTTTTTTTCCTTTTCAAGTTTAATAAAATAAAGAGAAATAAAGAATAAAGAAAAGAGAGATAATAATTATGTATTATTTCATCGATATAATCGAATACAATGAGATTCATCTCATTTATAAGACATCATATAGATAATATAATAAATACAAATTAATTAAATAAGAAATACAATTATTGAGAGACAAATCATTCAATTATTCAAAATGATTAAATTATTTTGAAGTGTAATTACATATTTTATTGATATTTTGTTTTAGTAATAATTAATTTTGTTTTTAATAGTTTTTGAAATTTGTTTATTCAATAATTTTTTTATTTATATAAATAAATATATTTTTCTATAATAATTAATAATTGTTTAATTATTGATACTCTTTTATTTTTTATATTTCAAATAAAATTTATTTATTATTAATTATTTAAATAAACCTATTCATCCCACGATATCCAAACTAGTAATAATATGATACCTAAAAAATAAAAAAGAGGAACTTGATTCGAATATATATATATATATATATAATGTGAAGATATAGTATAAAAAACATTTAGTAAACCAAAATATATATCGGAATAAAAAAATAAAATAGATGAGTGGGCCCCGAAATTTTCTAAGAAGAATCCAGAAAGTTCTGCAAGGTTTATATGTGACTAGCAATTTTAGGGTTTTTCACTCCGACTTTCCCGTTCGCGTAAACTTTTCTTTCTTAAAATGCGGTGCCAATCTTTGAGTTTTTCAGTGTAAGTTTAGGGTTTCGTGTTTTTGAGTGAGAACAATGTCGAGTGGTTTTGGAGAATCAACGAATTCAGCATCATGTTCTTTAGAGAAGAGTTCCAACAAGGATGCTGTTGATTTTGATTGCAACGTTTGTTTTGATTTGGTTCGGGATCCAGTGGTCACACCTTGTGGCCACTTATTCTGTTGGCCGTGTCTTTACAGGTGGTTACATCATCGTTCTCGTTCCCGAGGATGTCCTGTTTGCAAAGCCGTTGTCGAGGAAGAGAAATTGGTTCCTATTTATGGTAAAGGAAAATCGGTAACTGATCCAAGAATGAAATCATATTTTGGGATGGAGATTCCTTGTCGTCCTTCGGCACAGAGGCCACCAACGGTTGATGATGATGATTACGATGATGATGATTACGATGATGATGATGATTACCATGATAATAATGATGATGATGATGAGGAGGAGGAGGAAGAGGAACTTGTTGAGGGAGAGGGAGAGGAGGGAGAAGCGGAACTTGTTGAGGAAGAACGAGAGGAAGAGGAACTCGCTGAGGAAGAGGAAGAAGAACTTGAGGATCCAGACTATGTGGCTCCTCCTCCTGAGAATCATTCGTTGATTCATATGTTGCTTGTGCGCTTCAAAGAGGATTGTGAGTCTACACGGAAGTGTCTCCAGGAGTGTCGTGCGGCAGCAGAGCAGCAGTTGAAGGAGTGTCGTGCCAAGGCAGAGCAGCGTATCGAGGAGTGTTGTGCGGAGTATCTTGCAGAGGCAGAGCAGCGGATCAATGACTGTTGGGCTGAGGCAGAGCAGCGGATCAAGGAGTATCGTGCAGAGCACGCTACTGATGCAGAGTAGTGTTTTCTGAGATCTATGTATTTAGATTTAAAATTTCGATTAGTTTTTTGAGAGATATTTTTAGTTATATACTTAGTTTTTTATTATATATGAATTTCTTTTAATGCTTTATTGTTCTCATTGCATATTTCTGGAAAGTATTCATGCATATAAAACCTTGTTTTTTAAACACTAGTTAAATGAATTGAATCGTGCACATGTATGACTTGAATCTTGATGTTTATAAGCTAGTGTAAAAAGGTTTTGTTTGCATGAATTGAAACAAGAATTGAATCACTTGGATTTAGTTACATTTTTTAATTTTGAATTGAATTTTCTGAATCAAATCAGACAACAATTGAATTGGTTCACATTACTACACAAGATTGCACGAACATTATTCTAAGCCCAAATATTGATCATAATTGATTCAATCTTTATATGAACCAATTCTTGCTTGACAAATTCTAAAATTCATTTAAGTCAGAGAAAATTGAATCTATTTCTCTGTTAGGTCTAATAGTTTAATGATTAGAATTCAACCCCCTTAAAAGTGAATAAATATGGCGTTACAAGTTCGAGTTTGCATATCTGCAAATAAAAGTTTATGTAGGTATCAACTAAATTGAATTTACGCGACAAATCTAACTTACATTGATTTGAACATTTCTCTCAATTTTTCTTGATTTTTGTTGTTGCATTCTTTGAACTCTAAACTGTTAAGTTAGTATTTTTCTAATTAGTAGTTTGTTTTACTAAGCTCCTATAAAATAGGGCATGATAGGGTTAGTTTCATATTTGACTCATTCTTATGTTTACATTTAAGTTTCCTGAGATCATGGAGAGGTTTTCTGACATCATGGGAGAAGTTGCTTTATTTTAGATTTTACAGTTTCTTTGTAAGGCTATTTATAGCTGCATTTGATTACTTTCAGAATAAAAAATAACGTTGCATTTTGTACAATCTGCTATTGTGTTTATTATTTATTAACATTGGTATCAAAGCTTGTCAAACAGGTCTGATTGAGAGTGAAAAGAAAATGGCGGAGAGCAGCACCAACGTCAACATGTTTGTGCAGCCTGCCATCCCTAAATTTGATGGCTATTACAAGCATTAGGCCAAATTAATGGAGAACTTCCTTCGATCAAAGGAGTTCTGGAGTTCTGTAGAAGATGGAATAACTGTGATTCCAGAGGGGAAAGAGCCATCAGAAGCAGAAGCAAAACTCATCAGAGAACGGGAATTGAAGGATAAGAAAGTGAAGAACTATCTCTATCAAGCGATCGATAGAGAAATCTTGGAGACCATTCTAAACGATGACACATCTAAGAAGATATGGGATTCAATGAAGCAAAAATTCAAGGGGTCAACTAGAGTCAAGAGAGCACAACTTCATGCTCTTAAGGTTGAGTTCGAAACCTTAAGAATGAAGGAAGGGGAGACTGTTAGTGCTTACTTTGGTAGAACACTCTCCATTGCCAAGAAGATGAAAGCATGTGGAGAAAATCTGAAAGAAGCAGACATCACAGGAAAGATCTTACGCTCTTTAGTTTCCAAATTTAATTATGTTGTGTATTCTATTAAGGAATCAAATAATGTGGATACTCCAACTGTGGATGAACTCCAAAGTAGTCTCTTAATCCGTGAATAGAGAATGAGAGGTCCAGTCGAAGAAGAGCAAGCCTTAAAAGCGACATCTGAAGCTCAAGGTGGAAGAGGCAGAGGAACAACTAGGGGCCGAGGAAGAGGAAGACAACTATATGATAAGTCAACTGTGGAATGTTATATGTGCCACAATTTGGGGGCATTGTCAATATGAATGTACAAATTGGGAGAAGAGAGCTCACTATGCTGAAATAAATGATGAAGATGAGATGCTTCTAATGGCACATGTAGATCTCAAGCAGAACAAAGAGGAAGGAATCTGGTTTCTTGACTCCGGATGTTCAAATCACATGTCCAAAAACAAAGAGTGGTTCATGCACCTTGATGAAGGATTCAAACATTCGGTAAAACTTGGGAATGACTCTAAACTGATGGTGACGGGGAAAGGAAGCATACAGTTGGAGTTTTGAGGTCAAGTTCAAATTGTTAGTAATCTATATTTCATACCAGAGTTGCGTAATAATTTGCTCAATGTAGGTCAATTGCAAGACAGAGGTATTACTATACTGATAAAGAATGGAGCGTGCAAGCTGTACCATCCAACTCGGGGGTTGATAATGGAAAGCATAATGACTGCAAACAAAATGTTTGTAGCCATCACAAACATTCTCATTGCAGACTCGGCATGCTTTAATACACATGATGAAGAGACAAGTGAAATTTGGCACAAACGATATGGTCATTTGAGCTATAAAAGCCTTGCCTTGCTGCATAATAAAAAGATGGTTAGAGGGCTTCCAAACATCAAATCACCAACAAAGAAGTGCACAAGTTGTATGCAAGGGAAACAACACAGAAAAGTTATACCAAAGAAGATCAAGTGAAGAGCCACAAAGCAACTACAACTCATCCACTCTGATATTTGCGGTCCCATCTCATCCGCGTCTTATAGCAAAAAAAGGTATTTGCTAACTTTCATCGGTGATTTCAGTAGAAAATTATGGGTGTATTTTTTGAATGAGAAGAGTGAAGCATTTTCAACTTTCAAAAATTTCAAAGCAATGGTGGAAAAGGAGTCTGGCGTATCTTTATGTAGTTTGAGAACAGATAGAGGAGGAGAATTCAACTCAAAAGAATTCTCAGATTTTTGCAAATCACAAAGGATCAGGAGACAATTGACTACGGCCTATACGCCTCAGAAAAACAGAGTTGTCGAGCATAAAAACCGAACGATTCTTAACATGGTGAGATGTTTACTTGAAGATAAGAAGATGCATCAAAAGCTTTGGCGAGATGCCGTAAAATGGACCTGCCATATTTTAAATCGAAGTCCCACTGCCTCTTTGAAAAACAAAACTCCAGAAGAATGTTTGAGTGGTTTTATACCTAACGTTGATTATTTCAGGGTCTTTGGATGCATTGGCAATGTCCATATACCTAATGCCATGAGACAAAAATTGGATGCAAGAAGCAAAAATCAAGTGTTGACCGGTTACAGTGAAGAATCAAAAGGGTACAAGATGATTGATCCTTGTACATATAAAGTAGCAATTAACAGGGATGTAGTGTTTGAAGAAGGTGAAAAATGGGACTGGAAAAACACAACAGAAGAGATAATAAATAATATTCTGGATTGTGGAGAAGCCTATGAAGAGACATACAATCCAGGGGAGGAATGTGAAGATGAAGTTGTCCTAAATGAAGATGAAGGAAATACAACAGCCTGAAATCACGAAGATGATGAAACCATCTCAAATGATGCAGCAACCTCGCAAGATCAAAAAGATGAAGACACAAATTCCGGTGATGTTGTTATTAGTGATGATGTTGTCTTACCAACTCGAATAAGAAGAACTCCGGCTTATCTAGAATATTATACCAGCGGAGAAGAGTTCTCAGATAATGAGGTATAAAACTTTGCTCTCTTTATTTCTGAATCTAATCTGTTGTCTTATGAACAAGAAGTAAAGTCAAAGAAATGGAGGGAGGCAATGAATCTTGAAATCAAAGCGATAGAGAAGAACAACACATGGAAGCTTGTAATAGCTCCTCCCGGAGTAAAGGTGATAGGAGTAAAATGGGTTTATCGAACCAAATTAAATGAAAATGGAGAAATTGACAAGTGAAAATCAAGATTGGTGGCAAAAGGCTATGCTCAAGAAAAGGGGATAGACTATAATGAAGTCTTCGCTCCAGTAGGAAGATGGGACACCATTCGAACTGTGTTGGCAGTTGCAGCAAGGAATCACTGGAAAGTTTTCCAACTTGACGTCTGTAACTCGGTGGGAGAACTGACTTGAGTGTTTTGCGTTTGATCGCAATTGTGCGGATAGCAAGAGTCGCCACTGACTTTTCTTTTATCCAATAAGGAAAGGCTGAAAAGAACAGGAAAAATCTTTAGAGATGTTTTCTGAGTTCGGGGTGTAGACTATGAAAAGGGAAGATATTAGCACTCTTTTCATCCATAGTTATCTACGGCCTCTTAGTTTCTTGCTAGATCACTTGCTTTTGTTTGAATGTGCTTGTGGTGTGGGTTTTGAAAGTATTTTGTAAATATCTTTGTAATGGTTCTTGTTTCTATGAGAACGCGCACAAAGTGTTTGTTTCGAAAATAGTTCAAAGATGTGTTTGTGGAGTGTGTTTTTTTTGAAAGTATTTGGAAAGATGTTTTCGTAATGGTTCTCGTCTCTATAAGAACGTAACAAAAAGCTTTTGTCTTTTGAAAAAGGGTTTTAATATGAAAGTGTTGGTAAAAAAATGTTTGGTTTATGAGAAAACGAGCAACTAGGAGCGAGTCTACCTACTCAAAAGGTCTTAAATATTCTTTTCCTCCTCCTTTAGATGTTGCTATCTTACTATTGATTTGTTAAGAAGCCCTGTCGTTGGATGTGAAGGGACAAACGCAGGACGTTTGTACAATCATAGAAGGTAACTTATGAGACACTTTAGCAATTTTTTGTAAGGGACTATATCATTTTATCAAAGGCAACATCGAGGGACTACTATATTTTTTATCGAAGGGTCTTTGCTAAAGCGTCCCATATTCGAGGGACATGACTATATTTCCGAGGCAACGAGCGAGGTTACCCTAGGGGGGGTGTGTGAAAAATGATTTGTTTTCAATTGAATTGTCTTGAAATTAGGTTATCTAGCGGTTGTTTTTATGTCTTTCCATACACGCCTAATTACTATACAATATAAGAAAAACAGTAAATTGCAGAAATTAGAATTCTACGCTATTACAGAGCTTTCAGGAATGAGGGGTACAAATTTATAAATGGGGATGAATCGATGCGATTAAAAGTCCAAATATGCAATCAATAAACCAAATTGAATCGAGTAATTAATTAAAACTACAACAAATCTATGAAGTAAAAATTAATTAACAAAGTAAAAATATGGAAATAAAATTCTA